CCCCCTCCTGACAACTTCTTTAATTATATTTATGAAGCAAATATATTGAGTTGAACTAATTATAAAATTTACATCATGCAATACTTCTTTTGACATAATGTCAGACGTTTTTTTAATGCAGTAACATATTTACTAAAGGTTGCATACAATTTTTCATACTGTATTCCGCATAAGACACATTGTTCTGAATAATTTTTCATAATTCTTTTTGTACTTCTACTTCGTCATTTTTAGTGATGAGTATGAGTTATATTAACCACTTATACGAAATGCAACCTTTACAATTCGAATAATAAAGTTTCTTTATATACACTATGTGTTCATCATGATTATTAATAATTAGGATTTTACTAATGATTAGAACCTGATTAGCTTATATAAAACAGATAACTGGTTGAGATCGACCAGAAGCATGAGATAAATTTTTAGTTGAAATTTATGAATTCTTGATGTGGCGAACGTGATGAAATAATTATCTGCGGCTTTTTCGGACCATCCATACCAAAACATTGTAGTAAAATTTACATGAAAATTACATTTCACTTTACAATGTTCTTTATAAAGCTAAACTGTATTGACATTGTGCTGAGTTAATTGTAATATAAATTAAGAGGTTGTAGTACAAATTTCTGTGAACAAAATAACAAAAATTCGACGACCTACCGAACATTCAATCTAGAAAAATTTAAGTAATTGCAATAATTTTTCTGTAATTATTCTTGAATAATAAATTATATGATTTCGGTAATTGTTTTTGTGTCGTGCAAGATTGCAAAATTTCCCAGTAATTTTTGTTATAATATTTTCTCTATATGTGGAAATGACATTATCTCGTGACGCGCACAACTTGCCCAATCTCCAGATTAGACCAATGACGGATACATATGACAAGGCCGGTACATTCTGAAATGAATCAGCGATCTCCAATCTAATCTGCTCTAAGTAGCGCGTATGTAACGATTCCTACGTAAGAGAGCACTTCTTATATCTCACTCTCATCTCGCTTTACGAGTCTTTTCTCGCGCCTAGTAATTCGGTCTCGCATTATGAGATCTGTGTCTGTCTATTATTTGTTTGTTTTACGTCGCTGCGAGATTACGCAACGATGCGATAAGATCCGACGCCGCGACACGGATTGACCATTATCGTTATCGTCTCCTCGTTTTTGGATTACGCGAGTCGTTGTCGTCGTCGTCGTTACGGTTACCTGCCAAGTGCGTAAATACGTAAATAATTTCGCCGATAAACGCTTGGTACGCGATATCGGGTTAAAGCGCAAATGCGACACTGCGTATGTGCGTATGCGCGCATGTATTTATGCGACGAGCGATAGAAATTTCGTTTTAAATTTGAGCGCTTACCACTTGCGTGCGATAAGACCAGTAGCTTTATCGTTTGCTGTAAATTTCATTGCGACGCATTAGCATCGTACGCGATCAAAAGTCGCCGCGAAAAAAACTGCATCACACCCACACACACACACGATGCAGCGCGCTCACTTGTACATTTTTCCGCCAAGCGACCTGAGCGAAGCGATTTTCCTCGTTCGCCGACTTTTTACTTTCGACACGGATCTGTCTCGTCGTGTCTTTTTTTCTGAAAGAAGAGCGCGCCGAGTGGTCGATCATCGACTCGTATTGCGTTGCAATCAGATGTACTAGTGTCGATCACGACAGTCGCTCTCGAGATACGTTCTCGTACTTTTTCTCCAATTTTTCTCCTAAGTTCTCTTCTTTTTGAGATAAGGTGAATTCTTATAAAAGATCCTACAACATCTGCCATGCTATGGAATAAATCTCCCTTCAAAGATTCGTGCTGCACGAATATATTTTACATTAAAGCCGAGTGCTCTGAACAATACTGGGCTATTTTTTAGTTCCTGAATCAGACCCCAAAGAATAAAAAGACCGACGTATATCACTAGGAAAAGATTACTTATCACAGTATTTTTTTTAGAGCACTTGTCAGTGTATACATTTTAGCGTTTAATTTGGCGATGACGTCCCAGAGCGCTCTATAAATGATGCTTTCTCTCTTTCTCTCTCTCTCTTTTGCACCGCAACACATCCCTCTTGTTCACAATCTTGCTTTAATTCTTAAGCCGTAAGAAATTGACCAACCATAGTTGATTATTTTTAAAATAATTGATAAAAGATTAAGTCCCGATCCACAATAGTAAGCTTTAAGCCTTAAGAAATTGACCAATCACAGTCAAATTTGAGGAAAATAATCGACTGTGATTGGTCAATTTTTTAAGGCTTAAAGCTTATTACACCTGTTGTGACTCGGGACTAATGCTGCAATTCTAAGCAGAATCGTAAGTCTCGTAACTTGTTCTCGTAAAATTCGTCAGAACTTATGAGTAAATTTACAAGTCTATGCAATATCATATGTCGTACAATCACTTGTAAATATCTACGATATTGACATATGATATCGCATAGACTTGTAAATCTACTCATATGTTCCGACGAATTTTACGAGAACAAGTTACGAGACTTACGATTCTGCTTAGAATTGCAGCATAAAGCAAGGTTGTGGACAAGGGGATCCACATGTGTCGTTGCGGCGATTAACGCGTTCGCGGGCCGATGCGATTTCACGACGTGTGCGAAGGAGCGATCTCTTTCGCACGCACCAGCCTGGGTCCTGGGTTTTCGCGATGTCTTACAACTAATCCGACCCGCGCCCCGCTATTACGCTATTACGACCCGTGGGGGTCTCTAATGGGACCCATGCTGCGCACGACGGAATCACGTTGCCGCGTAATGCCTGTGCACGCACGTCCCATCGTGCGTCGCGCATACAGATAGACGGGAGAAACTCACGAACACGTCAGCCCGTGGGCCCTGCGCGTCGCCGTTGCGGCGTTCACGGTATTCACCGCGGAGAGTAACGGCCGTTGGCGACTTTCAACCCGTTTCGCGCGTGCTGAAAAATTCGCGACGGATCTGCATGCGTGCGTGCGTGCGTAAGGGGAGAGTACCGAGGGAATCCCTCGGCGATGACGAGTAGAAATCGCGCGTCATTATGAGCACGACGCGTGTTTGCACGAACGCGCGACGCGTAATCGAGGCAATTCCTCGTAGAGTGTTAGTAACGCGCGGAGAGATTCTGTCATTTTCATCGTTAGCGCGAAGCGACGATTCGATGCCGATCGCATAACACGAACCCAGATAGACTTTCGAGATTATCGCCGAGTGAGACAATCGTAATGGAAACTTTGGAATTCTTTTAATTGCATCGATGAAGCGGACACTGATGCTATACTGAATTAAAATACCATCAAAACGTCAAAATTTGTTGCAGTGAAATTTTTGCCCAAAAACGGGAGTGACCATCGAGTCACTCGAATTTGATTTTTCACTTGTTTGCAGTGAATTCTTCACTCTAAATTGTCGAGCGAATATTTTCATTCGAAATTGAAGAGTGAATCTGATGTATGTACTTTACCATCATAGGAATATATTCGCTCATGCGAAGTCAGAGTCCACTTTAAGGCCCGTATTAATCGTTGCTTGAAACTTGCCTCAGTTGAGACACTCAGATTTTAATTTAGAGTTAGACGTGAGTTTTTCAGCTGAATCAAGATTGCAAATGTAATGTTACACATTACATTACAAATTATATTATATAATTTCAATTAAAAAAAAAGCTTCTATTCAACTTTAGATTCAGATTCAAGTCTTCCACATGAAACAAGTCTCAAGTAACGACTATTAATACGGGTTCAAGTTTGGGTGAAACATTTGCTATTTTTAGTGATATAATGTAAATTTTTTATATATTGATATAGCAACAAATTTAAAAGTTTCACTCAGATTTTGACAAAATTTTACATTGTTTTGAGCAAATTCTGACAATTGTGTCAGAATTGTTCACATGACAGATATAAGTCGTTTGAACCACTCATAAAGGACATGATGATGTTCACAAATTGACTGATATAAAGTTGTTGCCAAATTTATGTACATCTGTCTATCTGGGTATGATTGTATAGATAGAGTTTCATAACAATCACGACATCCGATGATGTCTCAAATTTACTAAAAGCTGCATTTAGAGTTTCATATTATTCACATTTTATACGACATATAGTTTCGAGTAAATTCTTGATGATGATTCCATATTTCTCTGACCTTCCTACGTGACAAATATGAATGACACGTACAAGGAACGCAAGCTTTACAAATCAGCTGGCAAAGTGATCGCTGCCAAATGCGCCCGTTTACTTGGGTTCCTTCGATCGCAGTAAACTCTCGCGACGCGTTAACAACGGGGGAAAAAATTCCGTAGTGCAATGTGGACGCAACGCTGATTGAAAAATCTCGGGACTTACATTGATCGAATATCTTAAGCATCGCTTTCTTCAGCTGCATAATCGCGCGGAGAGTCGCCCGGACGAGGAGCAACGACCAAGACAGAAGCAACTTCGACCTTTCGTCGTCTCGAATAGTCGTTATCCGCTCGACCGATTCCTAGGACCATCGTCGATAACGCGAAACCTTCAAAGAGCCACTGACCGTCGTCGACCGACAACAGGACGCTGCATCTCGCCGCACGACGCCGCGGTCGCGGTCGTCCGGCGAGTCGACATCCTCTTTCTTCTTCTCCTTTCGCTTCCTCTAGGTCAGCACGCGCGCCCGCGTGTGCGTTCTCGCGCGGAGCACACTCCAGCGTGCGTGCGTGCGTGCGTGCGCGAATGCGTGCACACGATGCACTCGCCGACTGGTACAGTGCGCGCGCGCGCGCGCTACGTGGCGCGCGCTACCACTCGCGCAAGGAAGTCGTCGCTCGTCGTCACTTCCGGCGAGCCTGGAATCCGCACGATGAATGAACTCGTTCGCGTAATCGCTCCCACGTACCACGACCTCTCGGGGGCAAATCCAGTCCGATAACACCCACGTGGTGTCTCCGCAGCGAGAGCCCCGAGAGAGGCCGAGTGATAGTGTCGCGCGCGACGGCCGATCTACTAAGAAACGGCACACTGAGCGGAGAACGAGAGGCTCTGATGTGAGCGACGAATTTGCGTTTTCTCTTCCGTTGGAAGCGACGTGGAGAACGTCGCTTCGCGTGGACGTTACGTCCGTCGTCGAGAATCACCACGCGTGCTTTATTGCACGGTAAGGCGAGACGAGGCGAGTTACTCGGCTCGCTGACTGCAACGCGGGGGACAAACTAGGAAGCAACCGATCCGTTACGAGCGTCCACCCTTGCCGAGGGCTTCTTCTCTCTCCCCTTCTGCGGCCGCTTCAAGAATAGCGACGCGGGACTCGCCGTGACTATCGGCCGTCCTTGTATAGATTCCGCGACAACGACAATAACAACGATGACGATAATCCGAACGAATATCAAACGATCAAGACAACTTCTCGCGGATCGATTCTCCGTCGCGGATTGATTCTTCAAGTTTGAGCGGAGGCGCGTCTCTTCCGGGAGTCGCGCGTAGGTTTCTTCTCAGTCGGATTTGCGCGAAACCGCATTCTCTTCCTGCCAAGGAAACGGCGAACGTTAGAACAAGCGCGTGTCGCCCGCTGCCGCGCCGACTCCGCTGTTCGCGGCTACGAGGAAAGACCCGACGGACGCCTCGGCGACGCGGCGCGTGGTGCTCCGTGCACAAGCCCGGTCGCGACTGTTGAGTTCCCGTCGAGTGGAGCCGAGTTGAGTTCAAGCGAGTCGCGGCGCGTCGCGCCGCGATGCGACGCTCGGCAGCCAGAGAAGAGAAGGGGAAGAGAGAGAGAGAGAGAGAGAGAGAGGAAAGGCAAGAGAGGGGAAGGGCAGGGGAGCAAAGTTCTAATTCGGATTAACACAGCTGCACGCCTATTTTGAGAGCAAATCAAATTATCGGTCGTAGTCGAAATTAGGGAGAGAAGGGTGGATAAAGGTAGTCGACGTCGACGTCGACGATGACGACGACGACGACGACGACAATGACGTGTCTTGGATTTTTGAAACACGGAACTAGCGAGGGAGGAAGAAAGCGGCTAAAAGAGTAGCGTGTATCGACTGCACAAGTCGTCGAATGACGCAAATGACGAATCGAAATTACCAATGGCGCGCGCGTGCTCGCAGGAAAAATTGTCAGCCGATTGCGAATGAGCCCGGATAAATATTATTCGCTATCTCGCTCTGTCGCCTATGTCGCCGCGCATATAATGCGCCTGCATCGTCGTGCTCGCGCGATAACTTGCGCGTGTGCACGAGAACGCGTGTACTCGTGCACGCGTCATCGGACGGACGAGAGAAAAAAACACAACAGAGCGAGAGAAAGAAAGACAGAGAGAAAAGAGGGTGGAGGGAGGGTGAAGAGAGGAGCTGCGAAGAAGTGTTCGTTTTTTTTTTCTACCAGCTAGACCTTGTTATACACCGAGTGAGTCGTCTCGTTCGCTCATTTTTTCATTCGGAAGGCTAGAACAGAGGCAGCCAGACGACGTCAGATGGACCTCTTTTGGGATGAAGCTGTTCACGCTCTCGCGTTATACATTTCCGCACTTTCCGGGAATTCAATCGGCCGATCTGACTCGAGCGTGTGTACGCGGCGCTTACGTGTTAGCGTTTGACATTTCTTCCCACACGAACGACCTGAAAATTCTCAGGTACAACTCCGCGTGCCGGGACCGCCCTCGCGCTTAAGATAGTCGCTTCGCGACAATATTGCTGGAAAGTTCGGTTAAGTAATGGTTAATGCAACATCGAAGAAGCTTTCGCACACGAACTGCTGTAACCACATACATAGAACGCAAACTTCAGTTGAAAGACCAATCAGGATATTGCTTTAAAGCCAAATCACACTATTAACGATTGACGATTAGATTTTAACGAATCAACAAGCTTCAGTCTTGGCTTGCTTTATTCCAATTGGTCAAGTTCCAGTCTTCAATCGTCAATCATCTATCGCCAATCGTTAGTGTGATTTGGCCTTTAGGATCCTTCCAATTAGAAGAAGATTGACGTATAAATAGGATTCAGATTGACTAGGATTTTAATCAGATGAATCTATTTTCCTCTTTTAACCAGGTGTTTTATCTTTTCCCAGAGTACACAAAAAACTAAAACTATAGCAAAATCCTAACGGGAATCCTTCAACTAAAAATTATGTCTGTGGTCGCAATTCATGTGCGAAAGCTCCAAGTGCGTAAAGCACGTGCGTGCGATGTGCGCATGTACAGTCCGGCGCGCTCACGTTTGGCGGTAAAATTTCCTCGTAACGAAGGATCGTGATCCTGCCGGTTCGAGCAGTTAGTCAGCGCGACTCAACCGCTCATCCGTTTGGCGAAAGAACGCGGAGAATCCGCGACTCGCGCGCGCGCGCGCGCGCGCGCCTCGCCGAGGTCTCGTTCCGCAAGTGCGGACGCGCGTCGCGTCGTCGGATTATGCAACTGATGAGGTAGCGTTCGTGGTATCGCACGGTACATCGGGATTACGCCTCGTAGCTCGCAAGCGTCAGCGTTATTAAGGACAGAGCCGCGAGGATCTTTACGCGTCACTTTCGCCGGCGAATCTTTAGGGCTAAGGGGATGCCCAAAGTGGATAACGAGCTCCAAGTATGTCGATAACGTACAGGCGGACGTACAGGATGACGTACGTCAAAGCGTCAGATAAGAACCTAACTGCGCATAAGCAGAAATATCTCCGCGAGTTTCTTGTGTGTTTGTAGAATAAGCCTATAAATTTAGTTCTAAATTTAGTTTTGCGGGTACAACAATATTTTCTGAAATGTATCCTGAGCGTAGCAATCATACGTTATATATGTTCTTTATAAAATGATCTTAAAAGACACTTCTGATGAAGAGTTCTGTGATCCAAATTGCCTGGAGCACACTTTGAACGTTTTTTTCTGTTCCCCAGTAAAATCCCCAAAATTTTTAAAAAATTGTTAGATTACTAAAAATCGCTTTCCGAAAGTTGAGACCGATGCACAGCAGGACCGCCCTCTTGCGCACGCGCAATTGGGGCTTGCCGTGCGTACGAAGATGTGTCAACATACGTGTATCAGTGATATATACTTGCAGTTACATATTCTTAGATGCACACTTGGAGAATACTTTAGGTAAACGTTTTCTTGATCCCTCAGTAACTTTGCCAAAACAGATATTTTCTTCATAGTCATTACTTGGAACTTATTCGACGTGTGATATTCAGATCTGAATGTAAAGTTAGATTTGAGTCTTTTATTTGAATCATATAATATATGCGACATTTGCAAATCTGAGTATCTTACCTGAGACAAGTTTCAAACATTAAAGTTAATATATTTGCTCATTTGTGTATCTCATTTGGAAGTTCCAGGTAATAACTATTAACACAAGTCTTAGCTCTATATTAATAATTGTAATCAGAAACTTGTCTTACATGAGATATTCAAATTTTTATTCAGAGTTAGATTCAAGTTTTTAATTGAATTCTGATGTATGCAACATTTACATCTGTAATCACGATTCAACTGAAAAAACTTATCTGAATATCTCAGGTTTCGCAGAACAAGTTTCAGGTGATAACTATTACACTAGACATGTTTCCTTTTATTCATCTCTCTCTCTCTCCCTCTTTCTCATATTTTTTCCTTCTTTCAGGGAACTCAAAGTATATTGATCGCCGCGGGTTCGGTCGCGATGCAGTTTCGCGCGTTTTTCGCTGCCTGGAGGCCGGCACGCTGCTGTGCCTCCTCGTCGGTCCTTGTAACGGAATCGTTCTCGCTACGCGGATTTCTCTTCACGGATGATACGTTTCGCTCGCGAGACGCTCGCTCCACAAACGGTCTCTCGCGCGACTCTCTAAACCGCTCCGAGACTAAAGTCTCCGAAGAATTTCTTTCGCGATCGTAAATCACGACGCCGCACACAAAAGTTGGCCGTTCTCTTCCTCCCTTCTATCACCCTTTGCTCGCGCCACGAAACCCGCTTCGAACGACTTGCTATCAGAGTCGTTCTACATTAGTTACAAGTCTCAAGATCGCAAGAAAATTGACCAATCACAGTCAATTCTTCTTTGATCGTAAGAAGAACGATCGATTGGTAAATTTTCTTACGATCTTGCGATTTGCAACTAATGTAGAACCGGCCTTACAGAAATTTTCGATATATCTTAACACCATCGGAAGAAGCTGGGACGGTGAGACAAAATTGCGACTCGCGGCTTCGAAGGGAACGCGAGGATTCACGTCGTCGTGGTCAGTCTCTCGATGCAATGTCGCGGGCACTCGTCGTAACCTTGACCGATCTCGACATGTCTGTTCGTCATCGAAGTTCGTGCTTTCCTCGGCATTGACACGCTCGCCAATGCCAATGACAGTCCGTCACGGCGGTTACTACGAAGCGTCCGTCACGCTGCCATGCCGATCTCTCACTTGGCGCGACCCCCCTGCGTTTTCCTTATTCTCCATCGTCTGCGGCCACGAGACGTGTCGTCTCTCGAGCTGCCACATTCGCGGCAGCGGAAGGCCGCAACCTTCGTAAATTAGCCGGCCACTAATTGATGTATCCGCTCGAGTACTTTCCGGCCGGCCGCCGACGGCGCGTAGTAAGCACGCGCTTCGTCAGCCACGAGAACGTAGGTTGAATCCCCCCGTAGGTGGATCGCTCGCTCTCGCTAGCTCGCTTGACGTCGAAAGCAGCTTTCGAGACCGAAAGCCGATTTAATACCGCGAGAGTCAACGCGGGAGTCAACATGGGGGCGATTAAAACGTTAACGAGGCGGACGGAGATTCGTCGGAGAGGAGAGAGAGGACGTCCGTGAAGGAGAAGGCGAGAACGCCGCGGGACGAAGATTCAGGATTAGGCGAGTGGGGTCAATGAGTCCGGGTCAAACGAGCACGCGACTCGTATCGAATTAGCTTGTCGCACTGGAATTGACCTCCAGGCTAATTCCACGATCCGCGTTCGCACGCGTCTTCACGACCACGAAGATGATGACGACGGCACGGCAGATACACAAGCGCTCGTGCAAAGTTCCGTTTCGGCCAGCTGCGAGCGATTATCCGCGTGACACGAGTTTTACATAAACTTACGCAGCTAACAATGTGAGGTTAGGAGGAGAGCTAACAGAGAGATAGCTCTTGTTGAGATCTTATCATCTGCAGTGTGTAGTACAAGTTTTTTCATGCAAAACGAGTGAAAAATGGTAGTATTTTCATTTAAAACAATAATGATATTGCAACTCATAACAGTGAATGCTCGCTCTCAAATTTGAAGTGGATTCTGACTCCATATTGAGCGAATGTCTCAATCCATTGGTATAAATATGCTTTTCTGATGGTGGGATACATCAGATGCATTCTTCAAATTTGAGTGAAAATATTCATTCGACAATACAAAATGGAGAATTCACTCTGCATGAGTAAAAACTGATTTAGATTAGAGCGACTTGATGGACACGAATAACATTTCACTTCATAAAATTTAGAAAATAAAATGTAATTGTGTGTAAATGTAAAATTCGCTCATGTTCTATCATGGCAAATTTCGATAGGCACTCGTGTGTCATTACTGTTATTTTATTTATATTTTTAACTCAATTTCCTCGCGATAATCGTATCATTAATTGATAACGCATCGGAGAGGATTTGTCAGAGCGGGGATTCCCTGTTGGGAATACCTCAATCATGTTGGTAACGGCGAATCGTCAGGGGAGTTCGATAATGCGATAGCCGGATACGCATACAGAATGACTCGATTGAAAGGAGCAAAATCAATAGGACTTACCCGGTTTCCTGCGGGAGCTCCAAAGCACAGGAGGATGCGCGGATGCGGCGACGGCAGCGGCGGGGTTACCGGCGGAGGCAGCCAGCTTGACCGCGTTCCGCGAACCTGTAACAAACAAGTCACATCATTACATGCTCGACAAAAAGCGTATTCTTTAATTATGAAACGAGAAAAGATGTGATAAGCGAAACCGAGTAGCAGCTGTTTGTCGTCCTCAAAGCGGATATGTCCTCAAAGCGGACATATTCACAAAGGAACCATCTGTGGCTTCAAAAAAAGGAATTAACGTCCCAGATAGACTTTCATGATCTAATTTCTTTTTTATTCATATCTATGAGGTATATATACTGCATTGAATTTATCTTTAAGGGGGTATTCTAGTGTGAAGAGCCGTTTTCAAGGCGATTTTTTTGGGAATTAATTTTAAGCAAATAGTTAAACCTACAGATGTTTGTACTGACATTTATTTATCTTTGAAGAAACGTCTCTAGTTTTGTCAAAGCTTTTTACTCAAAATTGGAGAAAATACAAGTGAACCAGACAGGTCACGCCGTAAAATCGTCTTCCATCGGGCGTTTTAATTGCCGCCGTCCTTATCATTTCAAATAAACGAATTTGTTTTTATTTTGTTCTTTATGAATGTGGCAATCGAACTAGAATTAAATAATTTGAAGAAAAATTGACAAAATGGTGGCGCTTGAAAAATAGTAGTTTGATTTTTACTAAAAAAAAAATTCTAACTTTTCACGGTCCGAAAAAATAGTAATTTTAAAGATATCAAAAAGTTTCTAGTTTGGGCGATAGTCACATTCATAAAGAACAAAATAAAAGCAAATTCATTTATTTCAGACGACGAGGACGGCGGTAATCAACACGCCCGATTGAAGACAGCTTAACCTGTTTCGTCCACTTATATTTTCTCCAATTTTGAATAAAAAGCTTTGACAAAATTTGAGATGAATAAATATCTGTACAAAACATTAACTTTGTAGGTTTAACCATTTGCTTAAAATTAATTCTCAAAAATCGGGGCTTGAAAACGAGTCTTCACACTAGAATATCCTCTTAAATTTATATCGATTGGGGAATGAAATTTGCGATC